ACCACAGATATCCCTACCCCACCTACAATCAGACTATTTTCTCTTTTTTCTCATTGGTGGAGTACAACAACATCACAAAAAACTGCTGGGACAGGGCTCTCGGCTTGCCTACACTTATCACTTCCAGAAGGTGAATGACTGATTTGTCAGTTCTCTGGCAATTCAGAAAAATTGTAAAAAATGTTTTGGGTCGACTTGAAAATGAAATTTTTGGCAAATCATAATGCTGAAAAAAAATCTTGTTTTGGGTCAACCGAAGTGTCTCGTTTGGATTTTTAGCTTTTCTTAACATTTTGACATTTTTTAGATACAACTGAAGGAAACTTCTGAACCAGAAATCCTTTCAGATCAAAACATCAAAATATTTTGACTTTTTTGGAATTTGTTTTGTTTGTTTCTTTTAAGCAATTCAGTGAAAAATGACACAAATTCAGAAAACGTTTCGGCCAAAAAATTTTGCTCCACTCTACTTACACCACTCTTGCAACACTCTTAAAATGAAGGGGTGCCTCCTTCTTGAGCCCTGCCCTGTACCTGAGAGCTGTTCTGTTCAGGCCTCTTAATCTAAATGGGAGCCTTTCCCCTTTAGCCTTGACTTCAATGGGCTTTGGATCAGGCCCCACAATCCCAACCTTTTGGAGGTCTCTTCCAATGTTACATGGCTGAGCCAGGCCATTGACTGAAGTCCCCTTAAATCTGGTTGTACCGTGTGGTGTTTGTGGGTCTTGCTGTCCCTTTAAAAACTCGTCAAGGGGATTTAACTGAGCGACACAAAATGATGAAAGGTGGAGTGAAAGCTGCCCATCCCAGAACACGGGCAGTCTACGTACAACACACAGCAGTAATGCTGGTTCACCCAGTGTCTAGCCTGCCCATGGAATTCACTGCACAACAGGTCACTGACTGAAAGATTGTGGGTGGGTTTTTAAACCATGGCTCACGTTACGACAATTCTAATGACCAACCCCAGTGGCTCACAGCCAGTGCCTCACTGGGGAGGACAGTGAGGCACAGAGAAGTTAGTGTCAACATTTTCAAAAGCAGTGGCTAATTTTGGGGGCTCAGCGTGGTGCACCAAAGCCAGATTGCTAGGGATGCTGAGCACCCCACAGGCCCCATGGGCTCCAGCCGGAGTTGTGAGTGCTCAGCGCCTCCTTAAATCTGAGTGTCTCAGACTGAGCACCCAAACTTGCATGGTCACCCTTTAAAATGTTAGCCAGAGGGACTTGCCCTGCAGATCTGGGAGCAGAGCTCTCTGGGATTCTTGGCTTTCAGTCCCATCAGACCACACTGCCTCCTTCAGTAACACGTACAGGCATCTGAGGCCCTGATCCAATGCCCATTGAAATCAATAGAAAGACTCCTGCTGACTTCAGTAAGCAATGGTCAGGTCTTAAGCTAACAGCAATAAGGCCAGTCAAGCCTCATGCTTCAGTGCATGAGCTAAGCATCTGCGTGAGGCCGGAGGGGGGTGGGGGGGCGCAAACCCTCGCCCAGACAGAGCCAGCAGCACACTGGGGGTTGTTCCCTCAATAGGGAAGAGAGGCCCCGTCCTTCTCTACAGAGACCTAAGAGTCTCTATGTGCGACTGCTACCGCGGTGACCTCAGCATCACTCCTGACCAGCTAATCCCTACACCATCAGCACAACCAGTGAGCAGCCAAGGATTAAGCAAGCTGTGAGTCAGGATCCCGAGTAGGGTGAGAAAGGTGGGCCGTGAGTGGCTCTCTGCCCTTCCCCCAAAAACACACAGAGGAGCAGAGAGGTCATTTCCTACCTGTGCCCCTCCTGAGGCTTTCACACTCCTGGAGTGGAGGAGAAGAAGGGCAAGTTTGCCTTACTGTCATTTCCCACAGGACTTGGTATGTCACGGAGTGGCCCAGGGGCTGAGCTATTTTTAATTCCACTGAAATAACCAGCCTCCCTTCTCAGATCCTCCCCCAGAATAGTGTGGCTAACCAGGAGCAACAGGGGCCTGAATTTCAAAAAGGTCCACGCTCAGCTAAACCCATTTTCTGCACAGCCGGAGCTCCTTGCAGTCCCATGAGCAAAGCTCGGGTGGGAGTTCCTGTATTGTCTCGTTGGGTTCATTGGAGGTGGGACTTGTGGCAGACCAGACATCCAGAGAGAGCAAAAAAAGGTCATCTCTGTGTACCAGGTGAAGGAAGGTTTAAGTGGGACTTAAGTAGCACAAGGGGCTTGTGCTGTCTTCTGTCACCCAGACAACATGGAGTGAGAGTTGCTGGCCACTGAAAAAGTGTGCTGGGTAATGCACAAAGGGCCGATCTCAAGTGTGAGTGTGGTTTGAGCCAAACCTGTTACTGAGGTCCTGCTGCAGGGCTGAATCTTCCATCCAAAGTACAAGCCAATTTCAGGAGGCCACTGCAAATTTAATAAATGGCTGTACCAAGTATTCATGTGCTGTGCACAAAACGTTGGGATAGAAACAAGGAGGAGAGAAACTAGAAAACTAACGGGCCAGATCCTCGCTGTTGTCAATCCGCCCAGCACCACTGACTCAGCAGAGGATCAGGCCCAAGAGGTTTGAAGTAGAGCTGGTAGAATAATTTTCTGCTGAATTTCCTGATATTTTGCAAACCGATTTCTTGACAGTTCTTGATTCTCATTGTGTGCCCTGTTCCTGGAGATGGGGGGCAGGGGGAGATACATACACGAGCAGCACTTTATTAACTGTTTGCCCCTCTCCAGTTTTACTCTTTGAATTAAAACTGGAGCACGTCAGCAATGTAGATTCATAGATGTTAAGGCCAGAAGGGACCATAATGGTAAAATCCAGGCTGCCCTGTTGCTTAGCACAAGCCAGAGAACCTCACCCAGTAATTCCTGCCTCAGTCCCAGAACTTTTGCTTGAGCAATAGTGTAGCTTTTCAAAAGAAATCTCATCTTGACTTAAAGACTGCAAGTGAGAAACAATCTGCCATGTCCCTAACATGAAGTTCACAAGGTAGGGAGACCCGCCACAGAGGGAGAGTATGGGCCGAAGCCCAGTGTTCAGAATCAAACAATGACAGGAAGGCAGATGCAAGAGACAGTTAGAAATTGTCTGCACCTTCAGAGTGGGTGTTTAATTCAAAATGAAAGGACACCACCAAAGGGCTTTAGAAACAGAAAGTCACAGGAATCATTTAAGTAGCAGTCGCATAAGAGGAATGAGATCGGTGGCAGATCAAACAACCCATGCGGTTTTGAATTAGTTGAAATGAGCTGCCTAACTATCTGCTCTTCTTCTTTCCTATTCCCCGGATCATCACACAATCTGCTGTGAGCCTCTGAACTCATTTGCCTTTCTCTGAGCTAGAGTGTAAACAGGGGCTTGCACAGTGCGGCTGGAGCCTGATAAATAGTGCATTAACATAATAATAGTGACACTACTGACTGCCTAGCAATTGGCAAAATTCCTCCCACTGCAGAGCCAGCACAAGGTTTATGCCTCACTTGCATCTGCAGGATGGGATTAAGTGGTCAGTAGGCCCCTGTGCTGGCCAGAGTTTTACCCATTGTGAATATAAACAAATGATCCCTTCTCATGCACTATCATAGGAGGAAGTTGAGGTCAGAACATAGACAGTTTATAATGAACCAAAACCTGTGGTGTGACGAAGCAAAACCAAGCATGCTTGATTCTGCAATGCTATCTTGGATTTTTCCTCTGATGCTGTCAAGTACCCTGGGACAGGCAGGGGTCTATTTAGCACCCAGGCTCTGGGATTCTGAGCAAGGAACATGGCCATCAGTCACAGTGACTTCTCCTCTTTGAAATCTGGTCGGACACTTAGAGACCAGATGCTTTAGAAGATGCCAGCACAAAGAAGGGAATAATGCTGACATATTAAGGGAAGTTCTGCAAGGCTAAAACGTTGGTTCTGTGTTGAGTCAGCTGGAGCAGGTCAGAAACGGATTCCTGCAAGTCAGTGAGACAAGCCCCTCATCCACAAATCTCAAAGCCCTCTGTAAAGGGAGTGAGCACCCTTCCACCCACTCTACAGATGGAGAAACTGACACAGGGAAGGGGCTTACCCAAGGTCCTGCAGTGAGTCAGCAGCAGAGCTGAGATCAGCCCTCAGGATTCCTGACTCCCAGGTCCATGCTTTCTCAACTAGAGGGTAAGCCAAAATTGCCCAATGTGACTGCCTGAAGTTAGGTAATTTACTTGATATGTGGGTGTCCAAATGACTGGCCTGATTTTGCAAAGGTGCTGCTCTTCCCTCGCCTTCTAACGTCACTCAGACCTGGACTCAGCTTAGGCCAGACTGCGGGATTGATACTGGGCAGCGGGAAGCTACATTGGCCCAGGAGGAGCTCCAGAAGTGGCTGTCCCTCCCCAGCACATAGGAGGGGTGTACTTGCTGCACCAGCACGAAGGATGGTGAGTGCTGTCAGCACGCCCTGGGATCCTAGAGTCATCGATTATAGAGCCATAAGGGACCCCGGTGATCATCTACCTCCTGCCTAGCACAGGCCCTCGGCCTTGCCTGCAGTCACTCCTGTCGGAGCTAGAGCTGACTGTTTAGAAAACACCCCTTCTTGATTTAAAAATGGCCATGCTGGAAAACCTACCACCTCCAGGTGAGTTGCTCCAAGGGTTCATTACCCTCGCTGTTAAAACCTGCATTTTATTTCCCGTCTGATTTCGTCAATTCCCAGCCATTGGCTCGTGCTGGACCTTTCTCTGCTAGATCAAAGAACTCACTATTTCTTCAGGTCCATGTTGGCCCTAATGATCCAGTCACCCCATAACCTTCTCTTGGTTAAATGGAACAAGTCCCCTGAGCACAGGGGGTGTGTTCTATTGCAGCTCAGCACTGTCACAGGCAAAGTCCAGCCTGCCCTTTCCTCCTTGCTGCACTTTCTGCCACTGCCACGGGGCCTATGCATGCCCAGCAGCGGGGCTAAGGTCCGCCACCTGCAGAGTGGGGCCAACGCCCAGGGGCTGAGGCCGGGGCACAGACAGGGAGGTTTCACCACAACAAGGAACCTACTGTGCCTCAGTCGAAGTCGATGCAGCTGTTCACCCAAGAGGCTGGTTCTTTCCGCTTGGTACCGTGCACAGAGGACCGTGGTCACTGCTCGCCAGACAGAAAGGGAGAAGGCCAGAAAGAGGAGAGACGATTGTTGGATGTTTTCTGCTAAGAGCAGTGGTTCTCAAAGTTTTGTACTGGGGACCCCTTTCACACAGCAAGCCTCTGAGTGCGACTCTCCCCCCTCTTATAAATTAAAAACACTTTTATATATTTAACACCATTATAAATGCTGGATGCAAAGTGGGGTTTGGGTGGAGGCTGACAGCTCGCGACCCCCCATGTAATAACCTCGTGACCCCCTGAGGGGTCCCAACCCCCAGTTTGAGAACCCCTGGCTAAGAGGGTGAAAATCATAATTAGAAATGGGCAGCAGGAGTGGAGAGCTCAGGACTCAGGAGTTCCTGGCTCCCAGCCCCATGCTCAGATCACACTGCCTCTCTGTACCAAACACAGGACCACATACTCTGTGGGAGCACATTGGTGCTGCTCCATTGACTTCACCAGAGCAGGGTGAATTTACACTAGCCAAGCATTTGGCCTTTTCCCTGGTCCTTGCACTTCCATGAGGTCTTGGTCTATTTCACCATGAAATATCAATGCCACTGAGTTAAAAGTAAGATCCCCTTCGCTAGCACAATGCCACCATCTTCTTGGCAAACACTCGTTAAGCCTTAAAGCGCCTTCTGAGGGAGGTAACTATTATCCTGTCCCTTTTACCAATGGGGAAACTGAGGCATGGAGCAGTGATGGTCGGTGTCAGGGAATAGAACCCAGAAGTCATGATTCCCTCCCTACGCCATCAAATTCTCCCATCTCTTACAAAAATGCTGCCTGGAGAGGAACGTCCTACAGAATGGGCAGAAAAACAAACCCAGGTTCCCCCCCAGAAATTACCTGTCATGCAAACAAAGCAGCTCGTTAATTAAACACTGATCTCAGGGAGGCTACTTCCCTGCATTGCTAACTCTGCAAGGAGCTGGAGGAGCTAGCTTACCAGATAGCTGTCCCGTTCCATGGCCGCCACCAGGGCTGGAGTCCAGGGATCACAGTGCCGCCAACTCCATGGTTTTCTGGAGAGTGTCGGATCCAAAGAGAGCAGGCAGTTCTGCGGGAATGGAGCAGGAAGTCTGTCTGCGCTCGCACCTGTGTGGTAACTGCCAGGGTAATTGACAGAGGAAAACCGGCCTGACCTGTCATTCAGCTCTGCTGGCTGTTTGTTTCCAATTACCCAGTAGGTAGTGTAAAAATATCTGCCTTTTACAATCCGGCCCATCAGCCAGTCCTGCCTGCTCCTGACAGCTGGGCAGGGGTGTCTTTATACAGAGGCAACAGAAACTTGGTAGGAACCTGGCAGGGGTCCTAGTTCTCACCACAGGGTCGGACGTATCTTTCTGGAAGAACAATTCCCGGACACCCCTAGTGAGTAGCCAGATAATCTGTTATGGGCAGTGACACTCAAAGCCTGTGGGACCCTCGGAGGTTTTATTCCATTCAGAGATGGTCTGTTCAAGGCAAGTCTCACATTGAGTGGCTCGCAAATGTTCTCCCTGAGCTCAGAGCCACCCCAATCCTCCCCTTAATTGCCTTCCCCTGAGAGCAGCCCAGTTTCAAGTGAACTCCCATGGGCGTGAGGTCACACTCGTAAGGCTCCTAGCTGGAGAGTCTGACTCAGAGGACACAAAGCAGGTGCTGTCATGTCACGCCTCTTCGCCTGATCACTTATTGCCAACCTGGGAGAAAGGGACCCAGCTCCTGCACAGCAGCACAGACCAACCTGAGGTTTCCAGCTGTGAGACACAGATCTCTGGCTATTCTGTGCTGCCCACAAGCCACAGGGGGGCATGGGAAACAGTATAAATTAGAACATCCCTGAGACTTCTCTCAGTTACACCAGGGGTCTGAGTAGGCCCTCCCACTGCCCCAGAATATGGGAGACACAAACATGGCTCCTTCCCACACCTTTCATCCTGAGCTAAAGGCAGGAGCAGATTGCAGAGGAGAATCAGGGCCCTTATCTCTTGGGAGATTTTGTCAAAAGACCCCTCCCTCTCCCGACCCACATTCCTTTGTCACTCCAAAAGCCACAGCTGGAGGAGAAAATGGAACCTAATGGGTAGCTGTTACCTGTGAACCTTCCTGCTAGTTTAAACGTTCAGTGACAATATTCACTACCCTGGCTCCTGTGGAACGATGTGATGGTCCATTTCTGACAGAGGAACAAACCATATCTCCGAGCAACGTCCTATGACAGAAGCAGGAAGAACTGGGGTGACCAATCTCTGCTGCAACAGGACACTATGAGAGTGGCCTCTCGACTCCACATGCCAATGGGGAGCTGTCCCCAGTCCCTCCAGGGAGCAGTGGGCTGGCTGCATTACACGGAGAAGAGTCGCTCCCATGTTGCTGTGTGATCTCGGGCAAACACTGCGTGGCGAGAGAAGGGAGCCAGTTAAGGGCAGCATTTCAGACCCTTTCCTGACACTCTGTTGGCCAGATCCCCCATGGCCTGCCCCTCCTGCAGTCACTTACAGCTGTGCAAAGTGTGGCTGGAATGTTCCTCCTGGGGAATTTGGATTGGGTAGCGTTTCACAGCCCTGTGTAAACGATGATAATGCAAGAGCAAGGGGGTGGGGAGTCATGCCCTCTGAGTCCCCCGTTGTTCTGCCATTTCCCCGGGGTTCCTCCCTCCCATTCACACTGCAACCCTCTTTTCATCCAGCTCCCTACCCACCCCAAATGCTCTCACTGGAAAGCCAAGGGTGGAGCCAGGGTGTCTGGAGTGTAGAGGAAAGCAGCAGCGGGTTTCTCCCTGCAGGGATTGGGATGAACATTCTCTTTGGTTTTGATCCTCCATATGTGGCTCATATGATTCTGCAAACTCAGTCACCCAACCTGGTTCCCTCTAGCCTCTTGACTCAGCTGTACAGGAGTGGGAATTCCACATGATCTGAATGCCAATCCTGCAGTCATTTCAGCTACCGTAGGGACTGGCCTCTGGTTTGCTCACAGGTTATATAGAACTTCCTGGTCCGTGGTGCACAGCTGGGATTGTGCTGATTCACAAGAATTCTAGAGCAGAGCTGAGCAGGGTCCCCCCCCCCATCCCAAATGTATATACAAAATGGCTTTTGGACCAAACAATTTCATGGGAAATTTTAATTTTGTTTTAAGTTTTCTGTTTTTCCCTTGAGAAACCGGAAACCAAATATTTGTCAGTGAAAACTGTCAGTCTTCATTAAAAATTGCCATGTTTCAGTTTTTGGAAACCGAAAATTTGATCAAAAACAGGTTTTGAAAATGGAAGAATGTGAGCTGGAAGTGACTTTTTAATTCCTAATTTGAAATCCCCCCCTCAAATGGCATTTTTTTTACCCAGCTCTTAGCTATAGTAGAGAAGCCCAGAACTTTGCCCATGACAGTCCCCCTGCATTTGGTCCACTATCCAAACTCCCAGATGCCACTCCCTGCGAAGGGTGCTGTGACGTGTGACCAGCATGCAGGTTTCCGAGCTAAGATGCACTGTAATTAGAACAAAACGCCTTGCATTGTCAGTTGGAAAGTGGGCTGAAAACACTTCCAGATCCGAAAGCTGCTTGCACAGGAATCAGTGATGCCACAAGCTGCAGGGCTGTGCAGATTCAGCTTCTCTGTGCACTGGATGGTTGAGGCTTCCTTCTGGACACTGATCCCAGACCAAGGGCAGTCCTTCCCAGTGCCTCGGGACTGAAGAAGAGGTCTGTGCTAACACCCTTTATCTCCCCGCAGAATGTGATCAGTCTCTGGCCCTGGGAGGCCCTTCCACACAGCATCATGGTCCAGGTAAGTACCATTCGAGTCTCTGGGATCCCCTGAAATGGGGGCACTGTAAAGCATGCTGTTGCTATGGGTTTGTGGGCAGGCAGCCACAGGGGAATGCAGCAAATGGCTTGGTGATAACTAAGGCTACGATTTAGTTGCGGGTATTTTTAGTAAAAGTTGTGGACGGGTCACAGGCCGCCACTTTTTGGTTATTACCTGTAACCTGTCCACGACTTTTACTAAAAATACCCCATCTAAATCTTAGGTGCTGGGGAGGGGAGGGGCGCTCCTGTGGATGCTGCTGTTCTGGGAGGGAGAGGTTTCTGGGGGACGCTGCTGCTCCTGGGGAGCCGGCGGCCCGGGGGGCTGCTGCTGCTCCCAGGCCACTGCTCTGGGGCCCAGGATTAATTGCCTGGAGCCGCCCAAGCAGCAGCTGGTGCGGTTGGCCCCGGGGCCACCCCAGCTGCTCGGGGGGGCCTTGGGGTCAGCCACCCGGGCTGCTCCAGAAATCATGGAGGTCCTAGAAAGTCATGAAATCCATGACTTCCATGACCTCTGTGAAAGACTTGCAGCCTTAGAGATAGCCAAAGTCTTCAGCTTCTCTTCAGTGTGTAACTTGTCTCATGGACAAGTTATTGCTTTTTAGGCTCCATTGCCATAGAGAGCAGCTATTGAGTATCCTCATTCAGAGAATGTTTCTTTAACTTAGGTGGAAGCCACACAACCACAGGCTATGATCTTATCCACTCTGTGATTGTATCAGCTCTGGCAAAAACTGGCGTGGACAGTCCTTGGAAGAGAGAGTACCAGGAAAGCCTAGGATATCTGAAGAGGTGGGACTGGTGATTCAGTGTCTCTCTTTACACTGAGTCAGTGCTCAAGCAACCCCCACCAAGGAGATGTCTTATTCCAGGACATAGACAATTCACTCCCATAAGACTCAGAACCAGACCACTTCTTGTCACTGAAGGTCCCATGGCACTTTCTGGAAGAGTTGTGGGGGTGAGCCAAGGTTACCTGGCCAAATTCCACTCGGTAACTACATCCTGCATTTGCTCAACCCCTTCTGCAGTTTCAGTTGCACCAAGCATATTTCTTCACTTCCTGTCTTCAGCTGTTATGCAGCTCTGACCCAACAGGGCCCATGAGAGCTGAGACGTCCCTCACCTGCTGAGATCTGACCCAGGAGGACTTGCTTTCCTACATGTCCTCTCCATCAGTTTTTATGGTGCTGCTGCATTTGTCCCCTAAGTACAATCATTGGTAAGGCAGGTTTCCTGCTCTGAGTGGTGGAAGTGAACATCAAAGGAATTAACACCTACTTTCTACAGCCATTGTCTTTGGTTCCTGCAGCCAAAGAGTGACGGACCTTTCTAATTACTGTTTAGTACTTGTTAGACAGCAGCACAATAACCACCAAACCCATAGCGAGATCTTTAACATTCAAAAATTAATACAGTCATCTTCCACGCCCTTGCCTGTTGCCATTTCACAGATGTTGAGAGATGCAGCAGATCGGGTGGGTTCTTCAGGGCACAGCAGGTTTTCCATCTGCCTAAATTCTTTCTGTGTTGTAACATAAAGAAAATAAAGATGAAATTCTCTTGTGCTTGTTGACCTATGGAAGGACTTTCCTAAATATTGACTTAAAGTGCAATAACTCTGCAAGCCATTATTATTAATAATGCAAATCAGGGCTGCTTGGGCCCTTTGCACACCCAGACTCTAGCTGCAAGGCACAATTTCCTAATCTTTGTTGCAGACGGGACCATGACGACCATTCATCCCGACCTCTCCCACTGCATGGCTGGAGAACCTCTCCCCCCCACATCCCCCGTCATAGAATCAAAGAAGATTAGGGTTGGAAGAGACCCCAGGAGGTCATCTAGTCCAACCCCCTGGTCAAAGCAGGACCAATCCCCAACTAAATCATCCCAGCCAGGGCTTTGTCAAGCCATTGCTCCTTGTTCTGTCATCTGCCACCACTGAGAACAGCCGAGCCCCATCCTCTTTGGAACCCTCCTTCAGGTAGCTGAAAGCTGCTATCAAATCCCCCGTCACTCTTCTCTTCTGCAGACAAAATAACCCCAGTTCCCTCAGCCTCTCCTCATAAGTCATGTGCCCCAGCCCCCTAATGATTTCCGTTGCCCGTTGCTGGACTCTCTCCAATTTGTCCACATCCCTTCTGTAGTGGGGGGACCGAAACTGGACGAAATACTCCACATGTGGCCTCACCAGTGCCAAATAGAGGGGAATAATCATGTCCCTTGATCTGCTGGCAACTCTCCTACTA